CACCGACCGAAATTAAGATTTTCGACGTTACATGCCACCGAACGTTAATTTCAATTTAACCTATCGTTCACGCTTCAATTTTCACCTTTATTTAATAACGTGTTTCGTACAAAGAAAAATAATTTATTAAAATATACCTTGTCACTGCATAATCACATGCAATTATTTGATCATAAGTTAATTTAATTCACTGTCGAAAGGTATGTTATGTCAAAAGGTAGAGCATTGACAAGACACTTAAGAGACTTAATGTCAGGTTAAACAGTTTTGTTCATAAATCAGTATAAACTAGTTTTAGTTTTATGTGAAGAATAATATTATTAATTTACTGCAGTATAACATTGCTCAACTATTTATTGTTATTTCAATTATATTATATAAAATTTCTAATTTTATTAACAATTACATATGTAGTTTCACTGTCAGACACTGCACTCATCATTTTAACTGGACATATTATTTAGTTCACATATGTAGATATGTCTTTAACAAAGATTGTTCGTTTCTGTCAAATCATGTTCAGCAATCTTATCTGTCATTTATGAAGTATTGGATGCTATAAATGTCAAAGTATGAATTTTAAAAAACTCGACATGTATATTTGCTTCATATGTGTACACATGTATCATATGTATCATATGTGTATATGTTTCCAACAAATATTATTTCTTTTAGATCATGTTCACTTATTTTATCTGTTACCTAATAAATATTATTAAAGTAAGTCAAGAAATAAATTTCAAAAAACTTGATATGTATGCTTGCTTTATATACATACATGTATCATATGTATCATATGTACATATATGTTTCTAACAAATATTATTTCTTTTAGATCATGTTCACTTATTTTATCTGTTACCTAATAAATATTATTAAAGTAAGTCAAGAAATAAATTTCAAAAAACTTGATATGTATGTTTGCTTCATATACATATGTGTACACATGTATCATATGTGTATATGTTTCCAACAAAAATTGTTTCTGTCAGATTATGTTTAGTTATTTAATCTGTTACCTAATAAATATTATTAAAGTACGTCAAGAAATAAATCTCAAAAACTTGAATTTTCAAGAATGCAAAAAATGCGAGAATTTTGCGTGCGATTTTGTAACGTCCGATGACTTATGGAGTTGAGTGTACATCGTGACAGGACGATTTCGAACGAGCATCGCGAGGTTGTCGGTATCAGGAATTCTGGTAGATCGTGTCACAAGGCTCACTGCTCTGACAACTTGCCATTCATTAAGTTAACTCGTGCATGCCAGTGTACGTGACTTACTGTACGGAATAATTGGGCTCGCGTTAAAGTAGCAGACCCGGGATTTCGCTGGTTTCCCAACTTCTCGGAAGACGACTCGTAAAGAGTCAACCAGTTCTTATTGGCCTCGCTTTTTCGACGCGTGTTCCAGGATTGTTCGTCGGAATTATTCTCCGCGCCGGCTAAAAATAACGAACGAAAGTAACCGAAACTGTTTTTCGAAAAAAGGCCGCGAAGAAAAAGCACCTCGATGAATAGTGACATTTTTGCGCTGGACAGGTGTCAGGTAATTATATTCATGTATTCGAGTCAATTTTTTTTCCACGAAACAACAGGAATCGCTGTTCGAGCGTTAAAAGCATGCATAGAACACCTTTTTTTCGACCAGAACGCGTTTCATAAATATTTCAAGTAATCATCCGTGGTATCGACAGATCGACGTTGTTATCGTGAAATATTGGTCACGATTTAATACTTTGTCAGCACGTTTGTCCCGCGCGAGAATTAACTAGGTAGTCAACCAAAAATGCGACAGAACGTGTTACGCGTGCGTTCCAACGGCTATGTAGAATACGAAACCGTAAGCGCACGATAAGCAGAAATACTTATTGCACGGTTCATTCCATGCCTTCCTGAACTCGATAGAATCGTCTAGCCGCGCACGAGAGAGACTAGAGAGTTCAATAATCTGCCGCGGCAGATCTCCTCGCCCGGCATTGAAGTCTCCAGCGGCGCTGCAGCATCTGCTGCCACGATATTCACTCCGCCGACGTTATTTCGCGAAAAACCTTGACCTTACGTTTCAAATACATTCCCCATCAATTAATAAGCAGAATTACTTTCCCTTAGAATCTTGCAAGGTGAAAAATAAAGTTCGATACGTTTATAAAGGGAGAATTTGTCCGAAACACAACGAGGCTGTAAACGTCAGTCGTAGCGCGTTCGGACACCTTCGTAACTCGTGCAAACGGATTTATGGTAATCAAAGAGCCACCGGTTTTCATGCTTCATCTTTTTCTCCCGCTTTTTTTACGTCCGGTTCCCTTAAAGCGAATTTCGATTTTCCAATAAGCGGGCAAAGATTTACAGCCCTCGGGAGCACGTTCTCGCGCACGAGAACTCTCCTCCTTTTCACCCGCTTTTTTCCCTTTTTCTTTCTTTCTCTCGTTTTGCTCGCCACACGCGTTACTTCCTTTTCGATTTTTTCTCCCGGCGCAGGACGTGTTTTTTACTGCCCTCCGTACGTCCCACGAAGAAGACAGTCTGACAACGTCCTTCTCCTTCGCGAAATGAATTCTCACACGTACGGGCACGCACACGCTCGCCGGGCCACCTCGTCCTGGCCTGTAAGTAATGCATGCGCGACTTCAAACCGATCGTCAAAGTCAGCCGGACGTTGGGCCCTTATACGAGAGAGGAGAATAGGGTGGCCGGATTTCGTTGTGCACGCATACCTTTTGCACCGAGAGGGATTTCGTAAAAACTTGTGCAACTGTTTTCCTCAAATTTTAAGTTCGCTAATCAATCTTCGTTTGCGTACTTTTACGTCCGTAATATTTACGCACCCTAGTACCCTAGTTATACAGTCATTAACACTTAGGTTATTAACACAATGGCCGACGCGATTTTTCGCGAGTCGAACATTTACGACAAGCGTTTCACGTTTTACGATCGATCCCTGGGTATTAGCTCGCGGATGCACCTTCAGCATGTCGATCGAGCAAGAAATTTCAAACGATCGAGAAAATTACGCGTCAAGCAGGTTTTTCGCGGCCGCAAAAAAAAAACTGTACGGCGTCGATTATACTGTTGACGCGAATCGTGAGCTTGTTCACGTCCACGCGAATCTATACCAACAGCTAAAATTGCAGAAAAGAAATTGTTCGACTAACAAGCCGCTACGAGGCGTTTCCTCTCGCGGCGAGACGGAAATCTGAATCTTTACACGCGATTTTCGTACGATACACGGTTAACGCGACTGTTTTTGCCGTTGAGCTGGCCGAAAAACGGCAGAAAAATACCGTGACAAATTAGATTAACCACACGTAATGTAGATTTAATTGACGGCGTGGTGAATCGGGGCTGCCGGTTCAGTTTGACGAGCGCCGAGGATTTTGCCCGCCTTCCGAGCAGGAAGCGACTCAGAGAATGCTTATAGATTTTTTCGTCAGATAGAGTAACGAGCCTCATTACACCATCAGTTTTACACGTTACGCGTGAAATTATGATAATCAGCAAGGTCATTCAAAAATTTCAGTACTTTCTTCCACAATTTTTTACTTGATTCTATATTTCTGGGATTTTGATCATTTTGGAGCTGACATAATGTGTGGACGATTTAAGATATATTCTGATGTTTGTATTCTATGAGTAGGTTCTAATGTCATGTTACAGAGACAAGCAAGGTAATTCAAAAATTCCAATACTCCCTTTTCATATGTTCTTCCACAATTTTTTACTTGATTCTACATTTCTGGGATTTTGATAATCGACACAAAATTTTGGAGCTGACATAATGTGTGGACGATTTAAGATTCTGATGTTTGTATTCTATGAGTAGGTTCTAATTTCATGTTACAGGGACTGGTGAAATTAGATGCTCCAGAAATATGCGTATAGAATTATGTGTATTCGGGTGTTTGGATTTGACGTGCTTTACGAGTGTCATAGTGACGATGTGGTAGAAGCATGTAACACGAAATCACGTGTTTTCATGAGTAATAGATCATACGTATATTTGGATGTTTGCTTACTCGGCTCACAGTTCATGAATTAGTAACAATGTTAGAGCTAGACACATTAATATCAGATCACATGAAACAACATGCTATATTTTGACGTTTTCTATACTTCTCACACTTCACGAATATTATGTAACAATATTAAGAGTAGACACATTAATATCACGTGTTGTGGCAACATGTGCACAGAATTAATATACGAATATTTCGATGTTTTGCTACATTTCACGCGACACGTAACAATGTAGAACACATTAATCGTCAAGTGAAATTATTCTACGTTCCTTTTACATACTGTGAGTTGAGTACACATATATTTATATATCTATGTACAATCTTATGCCAGAAGATTTCTATGATTGTCCAAACGTAATATACGAGAAAAGTATCCCTGACAGCTTAATTTTCGTAACACTAGAAAACGTAGAAAGAGACTCCATAGATTTGCTGTTCGGTTGTCGCGACGCTACGGTAGCCATTAAAAACGTCGTAAAGAAGCGGATTAAGGCGATAGGTAAAAAGAAGCTGACACCGCGGGACGTATTGTACAAGCAGTTAGGCAAACTTTAACAACCGTCGAGTCGGTGAGAAAAAATTGATCGCTCGCAAGGACGCAATTTCCCGTCTGGTTGGCCGGTGGAAATCGTCGTTTCCTCGCTTTTATCGTCGACGATTTGGACGACGACGCTCAGCGGAACGATCTCCGCGGCACGGCCCATTCCGTGGGCGCATTAAAGCGAGCTCGACGTCGCGATGCACCCTGTAATTTTGGCAGACGCGATACCACGGCCCCGACGCCGATAAAAGCTCCGCCGGAAGCGAACCGAGGGTCGTTACTCAAAAGCGACGACGCCGCGGGAAATCGATTGCCAGGCGACGACTTTCAAACGCGTTGGCATCCGAGCCAAATCGCGACGACACGCGCACCGAAAATCTGTTAGACACCACGTGGCGGAATCATTGCCGGCGAAACGTAGAATATGGAGGAACACTTACATGGAATTGGTGGTGTTCCAATACATGTTGATCGTCTTCGCGCAATTGCTCACAGTCGAGAGTAGAACCGTTTGCAGGCAGACGAAGAACACCAAAGTTACAAAGGACGTGGAAACCATGGTAAAAACGTGGACGAACGAGCAGCGCGCACCGCGTCACCACCGTTCACCGAGATACAACAACTAACAACAAGAACAACAACAACGACGACGACACCTGCACCTCTGTCGCTGTCGTCCACAACCACCTACCACCACCGTTGCACAAACACCACATCCACACTTCACTTTCTCCGGTGTGTTAGATCGCTTGTTCTCTTCCACGTTTTTACTTTTCTCTAGCGAATTATCGGACCGTGACTCGCGTATCCTATTTTCTTCCCCGGTTCGAACGTTATCGTCTCAGCGAACGTTCGTAGGTGCACTTCCCGGGCTACGTATGGTGGAACGGAGTCTTCCTTCACGAGTGCTGAACTTCTTTGCCGGAATCCTTGACGAGCGGCCTCGATCGGTTACAGCCGATAAAGTTCCCTCGGTGTTCTGCTGTTTCCATAGAGGTCCATCGAGCTGCGCGTCCCATGGGTCCACCCCGTGTTTCTCTCACCTGGACTGCACCTTGCTGGCCCTCTCATTGGTACAACTTTTTCCTAGAATCAGGGTGACGAGCTCACGGTGGATCCTTCGTGATACGCTCGCATCGGACACGATTTTTTCCAACGGACGCACTATGGCACGGTGGCTGGTGTTCCGGAGCCAGAACGGTATCCGACGCTCGGCGACGGGATCACGCGAACCATCGAACAACCGTGAACTTGCTAACCATCGTACTTTGTTCCGTGAAACGATACGATGACGAAAAACTTTTCTCTTTTCACCAGAAACGTTTTGCACCACTAAATCCTCGGGACACTGACAATCGAAAGCACCAAGTGTCGACGTTCCAACGTCGAACAGATCGTTCCTGATCGGGGAATATCTCACGGGAGAAGGCACAAGAAAGCTAGTGAAACAGAGCGGTATCCTCGCCCGGAGCACACCCCCGTACTTTCTCACGCACTTGCGATTCGCACGGGTCGCTTAGCCAGCCAAACGGAGCGACGCGTTCTCACTGTCCACCACGCGCGAGTATCTCCGCGGTGGAGATCGGATCTCGGGCGAAAAACTGCGAGAGAAATCGTGGTAGTAACTGAACGGACCTCTCGTCGCGTGACGATGCCGCGTTATCCGGTTGAACGGCGACGTGAAGAGTCGTCGGAGAGGCCACGAGCTGCGTCGGGACGTGAACGCAGAGAACGGTACCTTCCTGCTCGGTGTCGCGGACGCGTCTGTCGGCCGAGCGGAGTGTCGCGGCCGTTCGTCTCGCGTCGGCAGACTCGAACGGTGACCGGGGGTGTCGGGGAGTGCCGAGCGCCGGCGGAGACGCACGAAGCGAACGAGGATCCTCGTTCCCTCCGTGGCTCGTCGACGTGTCTTGGCTCCGCTCGGTATTACGCCGCCTGCTCGCGAGACGCGAGTTTCCGAGTGGCTCTCTCCCTACGAGCGTGTAGCTCCCGTCGGCTCGGCTCCGTTCGAACCGAAGCTCGAGAGTGCGGATACAAGTGCTGGAAAACGCGATGCGAGATCCTCGTTTCTCGCACGGTGCGATCGTTTTTTTTTTTTTTTTTTTTTTTTTTTTTTTTTTTTTTTTTTTTTTTTTTTTTTTTTTTTTTTTTTTTTTTTTTTTTTTTTTTTTTTTTTTTTTTTTTTTTTTTTTTTTTTTTTTTTTTTTTTTTTTTTTTTTTTTTTTTTTTTTTTTTTTTTTTTTTTTTTTTTTTTTTTTTTTTTTTTTTTTTTTTTTTTTTTTTTTTTTTTTTTTTTTTTTTTTTTTTTTTTTTTTTTTTTTTTTTTTTTTTTTTTTTTTTTTTTTTTTTTTTTTTTTTTTTTTTTTTTTTTTTTTTTTTTTTTTTTTTTTTTTTTTTTTTTTTTTTTTTTTTTTTTTTTTTTTTTTTTTTTTTTTTTTTTTTTTTTTTTTTTTTTTTTTTTTTTTTTTTTTTTTTTTTTTTTTTTTTTTTTTTTTTTTTTTTTTTTTTTTTTTTTTTTTTTTTTTTTTTTTTTTTTTTTTTTTTTTTTTTTTTTTTTTTTTTTTTTTTTTTTTTTTTTTTTTTTTTTTTTTTTTTTTTTTTTTTTTTTTTTTTTTTTTTTTTTTTTTTTTTTTTTTTTTTTTTTTTTTTTTTTTTTTTTTTTTTTTTTTTTTTTTTTTTTTTTTTTTTTTTTTTTTTTTTTTTTTTTTTTTTTTTTTTTTTTTTTTTTTTTTTTTTTTTTTTTTTTTTTTTTTTTTTTTTTTTTTTTTTTTTTTTTTTTTTTTTTTTTTTTTTTTTTTTTTTTTTTTTTTTTTTTTTTTTTTTTTTTTTTTTTTTTTTTTTTTTTTTTTTTTTTTTTTTTTTTTTTTTTTTTTTTTTTTTTTTTTTTTTTTTTTTTTTTTTTTTTTTTTTTTTTTTTTTTTTTTTTTTTTTTTTTTTTTTTTTTTTTTTTTTTTTTTTTTTTTTTTTTTTTTTTTTTTTTTTTTTTTTTTTTTTTTTTTTTTTTTTTTTTTTTTTTTTTTTTTTTTTTTTTTTTTTTTTTTTTTTTTTTTTTTTTTTTTTTTTTTTTTTTTTTTTTTTTTTTTTTTTTTTTTTTTTTTTTTTTTTTTTTTTTTTTTTTTTTTTTTTTTTTTTTTTTTTTTTTTTTTTTTTTTTTTTTTTTTTTTTTTTTTTTTTTTTTTTTTTTTTTTTTTTTTTTTTTTTTTTTTTTTTTTTTTTTTTTTTTTTTTTTTTTTTTTTTTTTTTTTTTTTTTTTTTTTTTTTTTTTTTTTTTTTTTTTTTTTTTTTTTTTTTTTTTTTTTTTTTTTTTTTTTTTTTTTTTTTTTTTTTTTCTCCCCAGATCGAAGCGTTCGTTCAGAGACGTCCGCGAGAAGTTCGCGACACACTGGAAGCACGAAGACGCAGATTTTCGCAGAAGTGATTATTCGAACGCGGACCGTGAACGTGAGAGTATTTGGCCGGCGCGCGAAGGAGAGGCGTGAATTTCGGTCGAGTTTCATCGCAGCGAAATCACGAGGTGCGGGGAATTGGATTTTTTTAAAAGCAATTTTCGCGAGGGAATTACATTTCGTCCGGGGGCTTTATTCATCGCGTGCCATGTTTGGCCGGACGGCCGAGTTTTTCGAGTCGATCGAACACCATTAAACGAATTCGCGTAATTACGGATAAGATACGTAATTTCTTGCTTAAGTCCTATCGTACCCGCGCGATTAATTTCACTGTGCGCCTCGCGCTCTTCGAGAAAGAATATGCGTCTGTGCGCTTTTCTTTACTTCGAGATTTTGTGCGCCGATCAAGTGAGGGTGACAGAAATTCGACGAACTTTGTGACAACGCTTTTTCAACCCCTTACCGCGTTACAAGTTTTTGCTTTGCCTGGAAAAAGGAGAGTAAGAACGTTTTATAAAAATATTGTACAACTAACTTTATAAAACATTCAACGAAAACTAATATCCAGACATTTACGCGATCAATACTAGACATTTACATAAATAAACGCGACTAACATTTATAAAAATATTAAACAAAAACTAGTAGACAATTAGAACGTCTGTAAAAAAATATTAAAATAAAATAGTACCGCCATCGTTATCCGTTGAAAAATGTGGAACGTGTTACACGACATGTAGTATGATTGACACTGAAAAAAGGAAATAAATGAAAGTTTAGTTTGCAGTATACTTATGTACATGATCCGTTAAGAAGTTAATTCATTCGCTGTCACAGTAGAAGTAGTCATGTGTAGCAAGACACGACAAAATGGATTGGTGCAGATATTAAAAATTAATTTACTAATACGATATGTCAATTCGCTATTTCAAATTATTAGTGTGATTTTAATGATACCCAGAGCTAGTGTTTTCATTTTTTCATCGCAGTAAAATCATAGTGCCTGTCACTGGTGATTGTCGTGATGGTGAACGTGTAAACGTGTCAGCGATAGCTAACTCGACGGCTGATTAACTTTCAACGTAGGTTTCAGTAAAAAACCTGCTGTGTCGATTTTGGTGAAATTGATGTACGGATTTCTCAAGCTTAATTAGTTTAGAAAATTTATCGAAGTACAAGTTAGTTCATTTTGACAGGTAATGATGTGTTAAGTTTTTTGAGCTTCATATAATTGGATAATGGACTAAACTCAAATTAAAAAGTTGACTATTTTGAGTAATGTGTTATACGTCTGATCATGTATGTTTTCACTGTCACAGTGCATGTAATGTTGCAACATGAAAGAAACAGACAAGTACTATTGCGAAATGAAATCTTGTCAAGTGTGAAATTAGTGAGATACAGATCGAAAAGACAGCAATCTAAAAAAATGCCATAAATTAACATTGAATTCAATCAAACTGAAATTTAGTGTACACCATGAAATTCAGGATAAATTTTGTTATCAAGTCCTTGAATCAGTCTTAAATGTTGAATCTACATTTCAAATGTCGAACATCAAATTTAGATTTAAAAGTAACACGCACCCTTTAGAAGTTACTTCTAATATAAACATGAAGGTTCGAAGTTTCGAAGAAAAAAGAGATGTTACTTGTCAGAGGAATTGTTTATCGAAAAATGAGTCGGTTAACAGGTTAATCAAGAACAGTGTCGGTAGAACGAATTTCGGCAATTTGCGCGGCGACGCTCGGAAAGACAGTTTGACGCTCGTTAACAAAAGCAAGCAGCAGCGGTGATAAACGGAGCGGTCGAAATTGCGAAACTCGCGTGGAATTTAATTTTCAGGGCGCGAGCCGTCCCCGTTGAGCATTGTTTCCATCGAGTTGGCTCACACTGATTACACAACCGTCCCTTAAGCCTCATTACCGTCACTGAAAATTTCCATACGGCTCACGGGATCGGGCAACCGCGTGTCTCGAGAAGGCGCGTCCGGATCACGATTTGCCCCGAGTCCTTCGCGGGCTATGAATTACCGTCCCTTCGTCGTTTTCGTTTTCCCGTGTTATACTGCCGCTTTTAACACTGCCGGAGTGCTTTCTTGACTTACGATCGTCGTTAGTCCCCGTTTCCTGTTTCAACTCCGAGCCCTCCGTTTTTACGTTATCCGAAAAGCTTCTCATCGAATTCGTACCTATAAATACGCGGTCCGCGATGAAAAGGATCTTTACGACTGAGGATCCTTTGTCGGTATCGATCGATTCGTCGATGCACGCGAGTCAATTAGGCCGAGGCAATTTCGGAGATGACGTATCGAAAAGATGCAAATTAATCTGCCAGCAATGTCCTTCTACCCGTTTCATCGTCTCTCTTTCTCTCCGGAATCGAATATCTTTCGATCATTTTTTTTAACCCACTAGTCTTGATGGAAATCAAATTACAACGCAGTGATTTGTAGGATATATCAATTACATCGTTATTCTTTTTTTTTTTGCTTTCGAAATAAATGATAATTAGAAAAGATATAAATGCGATTTTTAGGGGATGAAAAATCGATGGGCTCTTTGGTTGATTAATTTTTAAATGCAAATAATTAATAACGTTAGCTGAGATTGACTTGGTCACCGTGACATGAAATTATCGGTTATGGTCATCTATTTTTGTACAAACTACTTATCCAATTATAATTTCATTGATTGATGGTAACTGAATATCTTCAGAATGTTGTGGGTTTGATAACAATAAAATTATTTTCATTTCTTATGAATCGTAAAGTACTAAATATTGTAGCAAAATAGTCTGAAAATATCATAAATTGATGTGAACATTCATTAGAGCCTCCTATGTTATCTTTAATAGGTTGTATTCTATCTTCAATAGGTACGAGAGATAATTTGTGATGCACAAAGAAAATTACAAAATTGCTATTCACTAACACTTTGCAATTCAAAAATGGTGTACGTATATAATACGAGAGAACCATTTAACCGTCCGCAAAGGTAGCCATTTTGAAACAATTTCTAAACAACGTAATATTATCTTTAATAACACTGAAACAAAAACGAAGTACAAATATTAAAAATAAATGAAAAGAATATAGAGAATGAAAAGAATAATAAGCATGAAATTATAAAATTAATTTATTAGTTTATACAAAATACAGTCACCATTGCAAACTATCCATTGCACATCACATTTGTACCTCAGTAAAATTCTGTCCTAATGCATTTTACTTAGTCCTTAGTTTTGAAAGACAAAGTAATACCTAATATAACAAACAGAAAATAAAATAAATAAGAGGGTATATGAAAGCGAAAGAAGTAGTGATAGCACGAGAACGAAAGACGACCAAGTACGTGGCGCCCTCTTCGCGAGCA